TCTGTTAATGAATGTTGCAAACAATGGTTTGGTTGCTAGGGGTAGCCTTAACAGGGTTGATGGACCTGGAAAACCACCAGCGTTGAGAAAAAACAGGTAACAGTGTCAGAGAAGCCAGAGCTCCCTCACAAAATGAGGATAAGCCCAGGAACCTCCATGAGAAGAGGGAGAAGGCTTAGTGTGAAGAACATTGGGACCCCATTGAGAGACAGGGTAAGGAGTACTTGAAAGCATACATGGTTAAAGTGTTGAGCCTACGTGTCTAACAGCTGGTACGGAGGTGTCCCAACCAGAGTGACAGGTTCATGTGTTCCACCCTCTGGATCGAAACAAGAATGTCAGTGGGGAGGATGTGACAGTGCTAGGCCCTGCCACTGTGTGAGGATAGGCAGAAAATACACAGGATTCTTGGGGGGGGGGGGGAGGGAGGAACCTTCAGTCCTATGTTCAACTTGTATTGGAGACCTGCAGGTTGCATTAATATGCAGGTATGCATGCTCATTATAAGCCAAGCCTGAGCATAGTTCAGGGCTCCCATTTTGGTGACCTAGCCCTGTCAGGAGAGAGAGAGAGATGCATGTTCCAATTGACTGCACCCCATGTTGGGAGTATTTCTTGTCTGCAGGACTTGGAGAGTCAGAACAGCTGCTTATGTCTGTGTAGACTGAGAAAGCTAAGGTGGCTAGTGAGTAGGGGACTGGAGGGAGCCTGCAAGTCTCAGGAGGAGTGTAAGAATCCAGGGTCCCTGGAGAACCAGAGGCCAAGGAGTGGATCTGTGTAGCAGGGGTGCTGTATCTGTTCCAGCTGATTGAGCCTAAAGGGGTTGGGTGAGACTGGTCTAAGAGACCAAAGTAAAGACAGCAGGGGTGCTGCTGATGAGAGCAAGTTGGCTTGACATTTTCAGTTGACTGTTTTGTGAAGTTGAAATCTCTGCGTGGGTAACTTTGTTAACTTTTCTATTTGTTTTAATGAAAGTAGGCTCGCAAGGCCCTAAAAACCCATGAGTTCGAAGTGGCATGTTTACCACATGAGCTAATAAGTCCTCATGTGACACCCTCTAATCTTTTTCCTAGACCTGGTACTAGTCATTAATCCCCCCCCCCAAAAAAGAAAGAAGATTGTTGGACTATCTCCAGGGTCCATGCTATGGTATTTTTTTTTCTTTCAATGTAGATCCCAAAATGAAATGGTTCTCTCTACCACCGTAGTCCAGGGAAGCTTTTATGGGGATTGAATGACTAGTACCAGGTATTCATATAGCAAACATGCAACAAATTTTCACAGCGCATTACATATTTTGCATTCAGATTTATCCCTGTCCACCTTACAATCCATGTATGTTTTCCTATTATATATAAAAAAATGAACTAGGAAGTACCATAGTTTAGTGCCTTCTTTATATCACTTTATAACTTTTACTGTCTATTCTTTTCTTTTTCCATCAGCTTGTCTACTCTGGTCTACATCTCATACTGTATTACGCAGTCACTTAAGGAAGCAGAACCAGGTTTGTAGACTTCACATTTGTTTTTTTCTGCTTTATATTTTCCTTATGTATGTAAAGACATTTTCTGTATGTAAAGACACTTTCCGCTTTTGGGCATTTGTTCTTAGCTATTCCCTTTCTAAATATTTACATGTGTAAACTAATTTTTATCCATGACAAAGTAACACTGGACTGCTGTATTGATCTTTCACTTGTATTTTCATCAACAAGGGGGCATCTTACTACCATATCACCAACAAGGGGGCATCTTACTACCGCACAGAGATCTAGATCAGTGGAAAACTGTTCCAAAGTTCATCATCCAAAACAAAAAATGTCACAGCTGAATCTGGATATCATTTGCACCTTTGCATTTCTTGGTAACGCATGCAATATCATGTGTGATGCCGGTTGTGTCAGCCTTTGAATAGGCCCTCAACACACCTCAATTCATCAAATAATACACCTGTGCTTTTAGTAGACCTTAATTTGTGAAACAATGCAGCTACATTTTTTTCTGCAACATGGCACGGCCCAGCACAGAGCATTCACATCTGTGCGATATGGTGCGCTACATTGGTGATTACCTTTTTTTTTTTTTTTCTTACTGTATGTTTGTTTGGATTCCTTTTAAATGGAAACATGCATATACAGTACAGTATGTTGCTGTACATTGTGTTGGTGTGGGTTTTAGCACTTGCTACGCATAGATGTGAATGCAACCTTTTTCAACTGCTGGATTGCTCAAAATCTGTCAGACATTGGAGAGGTGCTTTCTTCTACTTCCCCTCCCTGTACCCAAAATCTCAGTTCTCTGGCCCTTGTCTTTATAGTATGGTGATGCAGAAAAGCCCTTGTTGATTTTAACCATTAAATACTCTGTCCACATTAAAGAAAAAAGTTTTGTCTTTAGAAGTACTTTCTTTTCCATTGAGTTATACAGAGTCTTAAATCTTCAGGTTACACTGTCGCATTGGGAAGATTGAACTCTGCCAAACAATAAAACTGTAGGCCAGCCCAGGATAAACCCTCCTCATGCCAACATGCCTCAGTTTTTTGTTTTTTTTTTTGTAGTGTCCCAGGAGGACAGATTATCTTTTCTTCAGCTCTGATGTGTTAAAGACTAACCTAAATTTTCCAAATAATTTTCCAGGACAGAATAGGAGAGTGGTTTCATCCACCTAAACAGGAAACACGTCACTCATGATTATAAAAGACCAGAGCTGACCAGCCTGCACAGTTCATTGTGTTTCCTTAGGCCTGCATTAAAATTAGATTATGATATTTTGATATGTTTCTTAGACCTTCATGCTAGGCTGCAGGGGCCTCCTTGGCTTTTCAGTCCTACTTCTTGCAGGAACAGTGGGCCTGGCAGGTTGGTAGTGGGGCTTGAGTGGCTAAGAGTATTCTGAAGGGTCCTCTCCCTAAAAATTTAGGAGTCTTTCTCAGCTGGAGAAGGAGCATCCATACCTATGTACCATACCATGTATTGCAGCAAATCAATACTAAGGCCTCATGCACACTGGCTATTTAGCCCTGGGGCATGAGCTCCAGTGTTTAGGTGCGGGTAGAAGATGCAGGCGCACAGTCCGGGCCCTCTACTGCCAGCCTATCAAACTTTATGAGAGGCCGACATCTGCTGTGGCCAAATAGCGCACCATGCATATTTAAATTTAGTGCAGCATATGCCCAGGGATGTATGCCTGAAATGCAGCCTGCTTGCATTCCAGGCTTTTATACCTGGGTACATACTGCACGAAACAAACCACTTGGTCCTCTTCAGCCAATTCCAGGCCTTCGATAGGAACTGCCCTAGTAGGTATTTTCTCACTTGTCCTCTCCTATTCTGTTCTGAAAGATAACTTGTGAACACAAAGTTAGTTACCTGGTAACATCCAGGACAGGAAAGTAGGGAATTCCCTCCGTGGTTGATTGTATGTGATTTTATGTCCAATGATAGACTTGTCTTTAGTTCTTGTTAATTACTGGGGCTGCTGATCTGCTTTGACCTTTTTTAATTGTGGATGATGAGTTTACTGCCTTAGGTGGACAGAGACACTCTCTGTTGCCAGTGTCAAATATCTCACTAGTTTTGTGTTGTCCTCTTTCACAATAAAAAAAAAATACAAAAAAGTGAAGTTTTATTACTCAAATAGGTTCTTTATCAATATCAGTGATCATTAAGTTATGATCCGCCTGACGTTTTCTGCTTCTTAGCTATCCTTATTATTAGTGCATTTTATATGTTGCCCAAGACAATTCCTCTTCTTCCAGTGTGGCCCAGGAAAGTCAAAAAGTTGAACACCCCTGCTATAGAGTGTCAGTTGAAGTGGAACTACACTGCATCTGAGCACCACAAATCAAAAACGCTATGTAATTATTTTTTAGTATTCAAAGCACACTCGCCCATCTATTTCTCCATGCTTTATTTTTCTGAGAAATTACTTTGAAAAAACACCCCCTAACATTTTTGGCAGTGGCCATCTTAAGTAAAGGCAGATGATTCATGTAGCATTTACTTCCTGGAATCCATCTGCCCTTAGCTCAGGCATGCAGGCAGGAGGATGTGCTTAACCCTTCTTAAGACTCCTGGAATGTATGACGACATTTGGCTAGGCATGGAAACCAGGAAATAACTGAAGAAACGTAAAGAAAAAATAAAACAAGGAAATACTGTATATTATACTTTGCTATATTTTAACCAATGCTTGCAGTATAAGGATTAAAAATAGTCAATGTTGACTGAGAGAATTTAGTTCCATGTTAAGTGACGTCTCTTAGGGCTCGTTCACACTTGACTGTTTTACCAACGCTTGCCAAACGCCCCTATAGCGTCTGGCAAGCATTGGTCCGGCGTTTGCGGAGTGTTTTTTAACGCTCGGCAAACGCTCCGCAAATGCCGCATGTGCGGTTTAGCGGCGGTTGCTAGGCGTTTGCCGAGCGTTAAAAACGCCCTACAAACGCCTATAATGAAGTTTGAATGGTGTTACCGCTCCGCAAACGCCCCACAACCGCGTCGCAACCACACCACAAACACCGGCCGGGCGTTTGCGGAGCGGCACCATAGACTAGAATAGGAGGCTTCAACGCCTCCTGACTCGACCAGAGGCGTCCGTTTTGCCGTGACACTAACGCTCCCGTTAGAACAGCACCATGTGCTGCAATGTGCAAAATTGTCTGAGGCATTTGGGAAGCGCTAAAAACGCTTCCCAAACCCCTCTTTGCTGCCTGCACACAACGCTAGTGTGAACGTAGCCTAAGTCTGCTGAGGCTATTCACTCTGCATCCAAGATAGCCGCTCCAAGGAGCAGTATCAAGGTTTTGAAAGTCTACACAAGGGAGGATTTTACAGGTCAATAACACTCCTAAAATATGTTAAATGCACATATATTCTTATGGGAAGAATGTTGTTGAAATGAATAGTCTGGCAACAGTGTATTTTGAAGAATGATTTATGGGTAAAATCTCTTTATATTCATGATAAGATTTATTTTTTGGTCTGCAGTAGTTGGAAATGACAACACCGAACAAAACCCCACCAGGCGCTGACCCTAATCAGTTAAAAAGAACTGGTACTGTTCGAGAAATTGGCTCCCAAGCAGTTTGGTCTTTGTCTTCTTGTAAACCAGGTATAATATTAAAAATTAATTGTGCTAATAAAGATTTGAAAATTTGTAAATCAATTGTAAAAATGTTTGATTTTCTGAAATCCCCCTTGTTTGAGTACACACATGACTAATATACTGTATTTGTCTGGGTGAACGGGAGATGGTTGAATCCTATACAGGTTTGGTGTGACCATTAGGCTCTCTGCCGCTAGTTCTCAGGTCAAAAAGATTTTATTTTTCTTATGGATTTTACACATGATTTCAATACAGAAAATGTAGAGATATAAACAGCCTCTGGATGATTAAGCCTTTAAGCACTGATCCATAACTAAAGTATTATTTGGGTTTACCCAGCAATTGAAAGTACACTCTAATAAAGCATGAAATTATGGTATTCATTTCTGCATTGATTCTGTGTGTTAGGCTGTCCTATTGTGCAGTTCTCTGTATTCAATACAATGAGTCAATTTTGAATACAGGGCCTGTGTGAAGATGTGACACCCTCTCTAGAAGACTACAGGGGGGTGTGGCCATGATGACTTAGGCGTATAATAGGAGGTTGGATTATACTTAGTGCATCCAAGCTGAAATTAGGGTGATGGAAATGTATTTTAATGGTGTGTCTGCAGAACACAGCAAGGAGGAGATATTAAGGCCTCTTACACACGATGAGAATATTGGACAAATGATCACGTGATTATTTTTGCATGCTAGTCTCATACTGAAATTGAATAGGTTACTAAAGTTACAAACCTTCTATTTAGACTGAATACAACTTTGGAAGTGTTGTAATATATTATAATGCATTCTTTTGTCTCCTAGGATGCACGGTCTTTGTCACTCGATTTTCTTTTTTCGTACAATTACTGTGCTAATTACACTAAAATCATTAATTTTTGTTATCTTATGAGAACATTTTTTGTGCTTGTCCCTTCAGATATTTTTGCATGAACTGTTGTGATTGGCTGTGTATTGGACGATGGCTCCATAAGCGGTTTTTTTTTTTCATCCAATTCAATCATCGCGTGTACTAGGCATAAGTATTGCGATTTAAGCTGATATTTTGCTAGTGTTAGTAGCAGCTGAGGGTGTAGCTGGGCTTCTTGGTGAATTGAGTGGACCTTATGAATTTAAAGTGGTTGTAAAGTCTTAATATCTTGAAAAGCCCACCATAATCATTACCTCTATGATACTCCCCAGAAGCTACAATTTGCTGTTTTTTTTTACCTTTTTTAGCTTGTAAAACTCCTCATCACGTGACTGCAGTCTACCTGCATTGATAAACATTGAGCGGCTGGTAGGCGTGTACATTCTCTCTCTCACAAGATGGTGGGACAGTGCATAGCTGGCTGGGTAGGGAGAACTGGGACTGACAATGGTAGAGGAGCATGTGACATGCATACATGAGAGGCAGAACTGGGTGTGGTAGATCGGAGCTGGCTGGCTGTGGACAGGTTAGACCGACAACAGTCTATGGAAGCATTAGTGAGTAGCCACATTCAGCGTTGTCGGTTTGAGAGAGGAGGGATGTTGAATGTGGTTTGATTAGTTAGTTTTTCTCTAATTAGCCATTAATAAACTGAAAAGGTGAATAATACAAAAGTCAATGTCAGTAATCAGAGAATTCTTGTGCAGACCACACTGCCAGGAATTTTGGCTGGAATACCACTATAAGATAGCAACAGTGAATTTTGCATTTAGAGTTACTGAGTGGGCTATTTGTTACCTGAAAATGACCTTTTAAAGGTAGTATGCAAAGCCACTTCCAGCAGTTTTTGGTAAACTTCTTTTGACAGTAAAATGGAGATACAGTCAGATATAACTATATAACTATAAATTGTATTTTAGCAGAAACGCACCTGTGTTTGTGTAGTGCTCTGGACCTTAATGGAGAATGTTGAGATTGATTTAATTGGACAAACATATACTTAGAGCTAGCATGTTAATTAAAGCAGAAAACGTTTCTTTGCACTTTGGAAGAAGAAGTAAGATAATTAAAGTCTGAAATGCATTTTTTACATTGCAACATTATCTTTTTTATTTTTTTATTCCCCAAGGGTTTGGAGTCGACCAGTTACGAGATGACAATTTGGAAACTTACTGGCAATCCGATGGATCTCAACCTCATTTAGTGAATATACAGTTTCGGTAAATATTTGTCTTTTTATTGCTTTTATGCACAAAGTGGTTGAGCTGCGGTAGCAATCTCTTGAAGCTCTGTGGGTAATGGTTTAAACCCTTGACACGTTTAATTTTTCTGCAGGTAAAAAAAATGTGCAATTATTATTTTTGTCTCAGGAGCTTGTAAAGCATTGCACCAGTGATCAGCATCACTGGTGCCATGCAGGTCTCCTGCAAATCTGTACGAATATCTGCTTGCTTGTACGGGATGTACGAGCAAGTAGATATACTGACAGGAAGATATAATTAACTACCACAGTGCTCCACAGAGCCGTGGTAGTTCACTGAGGACTACAAGCTGACAGCCGCTAAGGCTGTCAGGACCTATAATCTCTTATTTACAGAGGACTGTAAATGAGTAATGCAGCCCGGTGAGTGGAACCCCTCGCAGCCACTTTTGTAAAAAATTTGACAGCTAGCGGCGAAAGAAGTTCCCCTGCCATCAAAGTGGGAATCGGTGGCCGTTCTCATCATAACATGTTACACCCTGAATATGGATGTAATTTGTTATGAAAGGTGAACTTATCCTTTAAACCAATGACAACTCAAAAATTCAGATTTTCCCTTACTTTCAATCCTGGCTTGGTTGCAATGGTCACTAAAACAATTGGAGAGTGCAGCAACAGGCACACGGACAGCAATAAAAACATGACAGCGGTTCTGTCCCTTCCATATTTTATCGAAAACAGGAGGAAAAGATTGTGGACACGGGTTTGATTTAATTTTTTGTGCCTCACCGTAACTAAGTTACAAGGTGACAGTAAGATAGTTAAAGTAGAACTATAAAACCAGACTCTTTTTAAAATTTTGGATAGTGTAAGGGGTGGGTTATAATTCCTATTGGTTCATTTTCTGCTATATGTGCCCAATAGGGGGAAATATACCTTCAATTCCTTTCCCATTGTCAAAACAGGAAGTGAGAGGAAATCCCTGAAAAGTAAGGGATTCCCTTGGAGACCCCCAGTCCATCAGAACTAGTGTCCCCATTGGAAGATTTCCCTTCTATTACATTTCTGGGGACAACCCACAATTTGGGATTTTCTTTTACTTTCACTTTCAATGCTAATGGTAAACAGGACAAACAGAAAGGATAAATCTCTCTAATGAGGGCACAGATATCAATAAAAACTGACAGGTGCTCTAATCCCTCTCCACTCTGTCCAGAAAAAAAAGGCTTTGCCTTTAGTTATACCTTAAACATGCCAATAACTTGATTGATACTCAGAGTGGATGAGCTTTAACATGATTGACTGTAAGTAGATGTTTACCTGTCTGGTAATTGCTATAGTTTACTCCTCTTATGAATCCTGAAGCTGGTAGGAAACACCCGGTCTGCTGTCGGGCTTTGGGCAGAAAAGATGATGGGTTGGTATTATGTAATTTTATCCTATTTTTGTGTCAAGCCTATGCCCAACTTGCCTGGCCAAAGGACATGCTCCATTGTACTTTTAGAATGCAAAGGAGTAGTACTTGGGCCATCCTATGGGCAGCAAGAGATAGCTCCTGGTAGACTGGTCTGTGGATCAGAATTGCTTGCATCAAGATAAAAAAAACATTGATAGGTTTAGTATCACTTTTAAGTAACATTCCCAACACACATGAAGTAGACTATACAAGGTGCACTCCCAAATCTGTGTGCTTTTATCACTCAACTTCATGAATAGACCTCTTACAACAGAAAAGGTCTATAATCTTCAAAGGTTTCTCATCCACTGTTTCTCCTTCCACTGTTTCTTACCAAATAACCCCTTAAATTATAGGAGGTCCAACAAAGCTTCTGAAGTGTAGGAAAGCACTGGATTACTGCACCTTATGAAAAGCATTTGATGAGTACCCTGGGCTACTGCATTCATTTGTTACATGAAGCAATAGAAATATTTTTTGACTGCAGTGAGCACTATGGTTTATTCTTCTCTTTGAGCTATTGTCTTTTTGGGAAGAAATGGTGGGTGAAAATGCTTTCAAGATTGAATGTTGCAATTGATGAGGAGTGGTGGAATACAGCTTTTCCATCCTTGATGACAAATGCTCTGATAAACCTTTTCCATTGTGAGAGGTCTATTTATGAAAGTGAGTGATATAGGCACACAGATTTGGAAGTGCTCCTTGTGAATCTTGCCTCATATTTGCTGGAAATCTTACTGAAGATATAATTTTAAGACTTTTTTTGAATGGTGTGGACATTTGTGTTTTGGGACTACTATATGAATATATGACATGGTTTTCATGTTTTTTTATGTTTTGGCAAATTTACGGTATACATATTTATTCTGTCAGTTATTAGCGCTGCACTGTTAACTTATGATGCAACTTAAGGCTTTTTTCCCATCGTGTGTTATTGTATTTATGTAGTTCTTCCTACAGTGGAGGTCTTCCATTAAGCCATATAGATTACAACATTATTTCCTTTACATGAGGTTGTGTGGTCACTATACCCTTTCATAGCGTCTGTTGTATGCAGTAGTATAAACCAGGCCAGGTTGCTGCAGAGGCAGAAGTGTCATTCACGTGATACTTACCCTGTTATGTGCAGGGTTATGGACAGAATTGTCACCTTTTAGATGTGGCATCATTACTTATCATCACTCTAACCGTTATAACAAACTTGATATATTGTGGTACTATATTTTTAAAAAGTGTGACATCTGGGAAAGTTAGCTCATGAGGTAGATAGGTTTTTTAATGAATTATGGCAGTCCGAGTTTTTGAGTTTATAATGGCTTGCCAGCACACTTTTATTTAAAACAAAGAATAAAATGTCATATAAAGTTGCCCATGAAGGGCTTCACAATGCAAACCGTTTACTGAAAAAATGCCGAGCCACTTGGCTCTCTTTTCAGCAGCACTGCTGCTCTCTTTACTTTGGTTTATTATACCTGTCTCACCCAACCCCCTCTTGGCTTACTCAGCCGAAACAGATGTAGCACAGGTCACAGGTCCACTCCCTGGCCTCTCAAAATGAGGTCTCCAGGCACCCTGGGTTCTCACACGCCTCCTGAGACTCACAGACTCCCTCCAGTCCCTTTTACTCGCTAGCCACTTTTCTCTGTCTTCACAGACTTACACAGCTGTCCCGATTCTCTTAGTCTTGTAGGCAAGGAATCCCCCAACATGGGTGCAGTTTCCTGCCAGGAACACACAGCTCTCTCTTCTCACAGGGGCTCTGTCTCCAAAATACAAGCCTTGAGCTGTGGTCAGGCCTTGCTTATTATGAGCGAACTTGCCTAACTTAAACTGGAAACACATCATCCACAATCCATAAAAAAAAAGTCACCTAGTCTCTTCAGTATTAAGCAAGACCCAAACTAATAGAATAATATGATAATACAATACAAAACAGATTATACAGAATCCCTGCTGCCCTGGTAAATGCCTGTAAAATTTCTGGATATGGTGTTACCAGGTAACAAATTGTTTTTCCCCAATCATCTTACAGGACAGCATATGAGAGGACAAGCAAAATAAATAAATAAAATAACTTATAAGGACCTATTCTACAAGGCTTAGTCCTGAAAGAGTAAGGCAAGTTGGATTTGTCAAATCACTGTAAGAAAATTGGACCAGGTGGCAGCTCTGTAGAGCTGTTAAAGCAAACCACTGTTCATCCCGAGGTTAAAGACCAGCAAAAAGACCAGTAAATCCAATGGGAGGTCCTACTTACTTTTAAAATGATGTAGAGCAGCCTAACTCAACATTTTTAATCCTGATGAACCCATAAAATAATTTTACACATTGGTAGTCAGGAGGAAGAATAAATCCCTTACAGAGGTGGTCAGAATGCCACTTTTTCAGATAGCTAAAAGGATTATTTGCGTCATGCTGCTGGCTTGTGAAGTGGCGATGGTCCTCGGACTATGGAGGCACCATCAAATTGAAGGTCAATCAGAAACAGCTCAGGGACCCCCTAGCAACCTCTGGAAGAACCCTAGGGTTTCACAGGACCCTGGTTAAGGACAGCTGATGTACCGTGTGCACTGAAAACATAAATCTCATCCACCTGTCTATGGTGTTCTTAAACATCTTAGCAACTTACTTGGGACCTGCAAATAGTACCAAAGGATCACTTTAGATTTACATAAAGCCATACAATTTTTTCTTTAAAAAAAAAACAAAGGAAAAAATAAAACACAGAGACGTTGCTTCCATCATTAAAACGGTTTGAAAATAAGAAAGGAATCATCAATTCCTATGCCCTTTAACTTGGAGTGAGTTTTATCCAGGCCCCCAAGTCTACTGTAAGAACTATTGAGTCCAGAAAAACATACTGTAGGAATGCATAATAGCTAGGCCATGACTTGCACTGCAATTCCTGGTGTGGTCAAATAGCAACACAGAATTAAAAAAATGGTGTACAAAGGGGTGAAAAGATACGCCCTATGTGTACAGGAGGGTGAATAGATGAGCCCTCTGAGCACGAAAATTACATTCTCAGAAAGTGTTAGATTGCCAATCAGTCACTAATCCATGCATTGCTACTTGGGGGTGTAGGAATGGACCCTGATGTATTAGATCAGGGGTGCACATATTAATTTCATTGCGGGCCACATCAGCATTATGGTTGCTCTCAAAGGGCCAGTTGTATCTGTAAGACTGTGTAAATGTACCTACTCTTTATCATATTAAAGAAGTGCCTCTTCATTCAAATTTTACTGGTTTAATAAGACTTTAGCTGTGAAAGGCAGATGCAAACCAGCACGGAGCCCACTCACACTCCTGTAGCAAATGTTTCAAGTCTCAAAAGGAGTCACACACTGCAGGTATCATCCACAAGAAATTTTATTGGAGACTGCTCAGACAGAACATGGTCTACCATGGTGTTCTGTCTGAGCAGTCTCCAATAAAGTCTCCAATAAAGATGATAAAAGTGGTGTGCAACACTCCTTTTCAACTAGCATAAAACTGTATTATTCTCATAATTATAAGCAGATGATGTCCAGAGCAGCCACCCTCTTATCAGATGTTCTGATTCCTCCCTCACCATCAAATGTCAAGAGTCCTCCACCCTCCCTTCAATCACATTGCAACTCCCTTAGGTTGTGCAGTTGCCTGGAAGAAGCTGAAGGCAGAGCTGGGAAGCAGAAAGTGCAGGGTCTGGGGGACCAGAGGAGGGCTGCAATTCAGCTGCCAGAGTCTGCTGAATCCTGAGACCAGGGGAGGAGGAGATGAGGGGGTGCTTCAGCTGCACAGAGAGGTGCATGATCTGTAAGAGGAGTTCTGTCCTCCTCTCTGCTGCCAACGGCTTGGATGGGCTTGACAGACACAAGCCTCTCCGTGACTGTACAAAGAAGGGCAGGATCTTGTGGAGGAGTTCTGTCCTGCTCTCTGCTGCTGACTGTGGGGGAAGAGACGAGGGGGGTGCCGCAGCTACAGGAGAGGTGCGAGGGCCACATAAAATGGCCCCACAAGCCTTGTATTCGATACCTGTGTATTAAATCATTGTTGATTAGGAGTGTTAGGAGTCCCTGAGCTGTTTCTGATTGACCTTCCAGTAGACCTGTTTTTTTTAAACTGCGTATTAGAATTATTTTTTTATGTCAGTTGTATATCATCACTTGTATCCTTTTAAGAGCTAGCCACTGAACCTAGATTTTATTGTAAAAATGGATCCAATGATTTCATAATGGAATAACTCATTCACCAAAGAGCTGCATTCTGTGCTTTTTCAATTGACAAAATACGGTTGAATCTTAAATTACTGTTTTGATCCATGGACTGCAAAATGCTACACTTGAGGCTTCCTGTAGTTTATTGTTTGACGAATCTTGTTTATGTATGTAACTGTGCGCCAAGCCTTTGCAAATTATTTCAGGCATAAAGCTTACATCCCAACTTTAAAAAAAGTGCAGCAAAAACATTTTGATGAGCTTTCATTGTGGTTCTCTTGCTATGTGTTTTTATTTTTCTGGCTTATAGAAGAAAGACTACTGTGAAAGCTTTATGCATTTACGCTGATTACAAGTCAGACGAAAGCTACACACCAAGTAAAATCTCGGTCAGAGTGGGAAACAACTTCCACAACCTTCAAGAGATTCGGGTAGGTTGATTTTGTATGTTTTTATTTTACCGAACAAAGTACAATTGGTTTCAGTATTTAGCACTGTAAGTTATGGGTTGTTAAATGTATAAACTTTAACTATTTCCAAGTTGACATCATGCGGTTTGGATCTTTTCCTGATTGTGTAACTATTTTCAGTGCATCCAGTTTCTCTGAATCATTTTTTTCCTTGTTTTAAAGGAAACCTGTGCTGAAGGAAATATGAAGACTGCCTTTGGTGATCCAGTTGCCTGGCTTTCTCTGGCTTCAGTATATTTTCACTAACCCAGACTAATGCAGTCAACTACATCTGAACTTTTACTTGTTTCGAGCAAGTCGCTCAAAATATTGATCAGCCTGAAAGCCAGGCAACTAGTTTGCACAGAATGAAAGTAATCGCTGTGGCAGCGATTCTGTAATTAGAAAAAAAAATGTAAATAAAATATATATATATATATATATATATATATATATATATATATATATATATATATATATATATATATATATATATATATATATATATACACACACACATGCCAAATAAAACCAAAAACTTTTTTAGCACACTCAAAATACTTGTGACTAAATGTAAATTAAAGAACTTGTGTAATGTAAATAAATGTTACCAAAATCAAGTCCACCAAAAAAAAACATTATTGTCCATAAATTTATTAAACCACAAATCCTTAGTTTAGGTGTTGGAATCATCAATGAAACACATCTTGCTCTTTGGTGCTGCTCCTCACAAGAGTGGGGAAATCTACAAATGACATACAAACAAACAAGAAATTTAGTAACTTTAAAGGCTGTAGTGTTCAATTCAACTGCAAATTGGCCACCCACAAAATTAAGATAGAGCGTGTACACCAACACTCCCAGCATGGGTGCTTCTCTGTGTTCACACTTTTAGTCCTGGATAGCAAGTGCTGTCAGATGGATAAATAGCTGCAGCTGGAGGACAGATCAAAGCTCTGTACAAAGGCACAGTGTGCTTCAGGGGATCTCATGGATGATATCACATGCGGAAGGAGCAGTGGGCATAGCTATGTGTTTCGAAGGACCTCCTTCTTTGCAAACTCCAAATTAATGGATGCAGAAGATTCACTGGCCAGTATGTATCTAATAAACAGCAAAGATCAGCAGTGTGGACAGCAGGACAGACTATGGTTTTTATTTTTTATATCCTGTTTTGGAGTCGTTTAAGTGAGCTTAATGTGAAATGGTTTTGAATTGTTTTCTCATTATTTACAAATTATATCTTTGTCCAGTGTTATAAAGGAATTATGTGGTATAGTATAGTTAATTGCCAGGTGATCTCTGGTTTAAATTTTTTGGGATCAGTAATATTTTTAAAGTGACCCTGATCTAGCTTAAAAGTCTTTCTCAGGTATTAACATTTGCTGGAGTGCAGACTTCAAGACCCGTCTTCAGACTAATTCCGATGTCTCTGTGGAGCAACTTGGATCATAGGCCTAGGAATGTGGAGCCTTTATTTCATCCCAAATTGAGAATTAGATTTTAGTTACAAGTTCCACACCCTCTTAGTACCATTAAAGCTTACCATACACTAACAGAATTTGACAAGAAATGTTTTGCCTTTGGAACGTTCATTCAATTTGCTAATGGTTAATAGTAGTCAAATTGATGGTCGTTTTTGACCAAAGTGATGGAAAAAAAAATTGAAGTAGCAGAATGTAACATTTTTCTCGAATGAACAAAATTTTACCTGTGAATGTGGTCTTGTTTGGGAAAAATCATAAGAACAATCACACACATTGTAATGAAACCTGTTGCTTTATGTTTGGGATTACAATTAAATAGCAGATCTGCATGAAATTTTAAGGGCTTTCGAATTAAATTAGTTGATGGCAAAAAAGAACATTCTGAGAATGTTTTGCAAATTAAATTCTACTACTATATGTCTAGCTTTAAACAATGTTTCATCATTTTGAAGGACAACTGTAGCTTCAATTAAAAAAAAGTACTTTAAGCCAGCTATCCCTAACCTCCTTAAACTTATCTACATTAAGCCCACCACTCTAGTCTCTTACTTATCTCTGTAGCACAGCTGCATCCTGTTCCACTGTTTACAGCTCAGATCAGAATCTTCTGTAGTACAACTAGTTCATATAAATTTCCCATTTCCCGAACATCTCCGCTTCCAAGAGATGGCCCCATACAAGTCTATTAGGGCTCACTGAGATGGCAGGGGACTTCACTTTGGTAACATGAATAAGCTAGAATCAACGCAGCAATTTCTTCTTATTTCATGGAATTAAAGTGGCTCTAAAGCCTAAATAATAAAATCCCAGTTGAGGTTTTTTTTTTTTGTGTTTTTTGTTTTTTTAGTACTGTGTGTTGGTCTGTATTTTGTTTAGGAGGTTTGCTGTCACTTCCCAGGCAGTAGTGAGGACAATTCCCATCTTGGACAGTTGCTTTGTAACAGTGATAATTGTAAACTTTTGGTTTTTCTTTCACTTTTTGTCCTGATAATAATTATCACCTGAACAAATAGGGTGAATCCCCCCAGTTGGGACACTGCAGTAAAACCCGACAGTTGCCAAGCATTTCCTACTGTATCCAAAACTAAACAAGTTTAGCTTTAGATTTGCTTTAATGCTATTAAGGGCTCATTCACACCATGGTGCAGAGACATCAATTTTTCTGCATGTGTTCTGAAAGGACACAACAAATTCAATTGTTCTCTCTGTGTCCTGTTCACACCACAACGCTGGTATCATGTGCAGATTTTTTCTGCGCAGCAATGTGCAACATATATAAACTCATTGAAAACTGGTGGAAACTGACATCTATGCAAGTGAAATCTGTGCGTAAGTTTCAATCAGTTTGCTGCACTCATGATGTGAACGAGGCCTAATGCTTTGGATGAAGTTAGGTAATGTTTTGGTAAATTTGAGAAAATAGTCCCACTTTATTTACTACTAGCTTGGTTTGTAAAGCCTGAAAACTGGAGACCAGACTGTGCTTTTAGACACTGCCATAAAGTTCCCCTACCTCTATCATATTGCATCTCATTTGTAGTGCCACCTGCTAGTGAAATGTGGTGTGATTCTGCAACCATTTAGATGTGAAGCAAATCTGTGTTTAGCCTACCTAGGGAAAATAAAACTATAGTACGACATGACCCACATTGTGTTTACTCACATTCAAATTGTTGAATAAAATAGAATTTTGACCAAGTGGAGAGATTAAAAAAACAGGCGTTAAGACAACAGGAGGTAGGAACATGAGTTAATATAGTTAGAGGGAGTGGTATGGGCTCACAGAAAAGGAAGGCCAGTTCTCTGTGTTTGAGCACCCAAACATACTTGACTGTTTCCAGGCCTCCCACTTTCTCACTTCCAACATTTGGCTTATATTGTCGTCATTGATGCACCCGGGAGGTCACTATAACTTATATTTCTGGAAAGCCTTACAGTTGCTCCATTTCTTCCGTTCTTTAGGGCCCCCCTACGCAGTATAGATATCCAGTGATGACATTTGAGGTGTTTTGTATGAATAGTAGTGTTCTGCCCTAAACACTAACCAAGATGTACTCCTTTCTGATCTCCCCGCTGGAAAGCTTTACGTTACCATGCCTCAATAAATGGGAGGCAGATCTTGGTAAAAATATCACACCTGATGCAAGCCGAAACATATACCTTGAAAACCTTGATATGCACTCTCATACAGGAGAGTAACTTTAAGCTATTAAGCAGATGGTACCGCATGCTGTCTGTTTTATGAAACTATTTCCCTGAGACCTCTGTTCACTGCTGGAGGTGCCAGGAGGAGCAGGAGACGTTGCGCCACATCTTTTGTTTTTGTCCAAAACTAGAGCAGTATTGGAAGAAGGTGCACAAAAGTTTATGGACTATCTGTTTCCGGTGGACCCCACCTTTTTTTCTTTTTCATCTTTCTGAAATCTCCCTTAAGGCCTATAAGAAATCGATGGAAGACCAGGAAATCCAGGACGACAGCACTCCAACAATCCACTTTATTCGATATAAACATTAAAACCAAATGACAGATGGAACAAGTACAGTGGGGGACAAGCAGGTAGATGCATTTCACGCTGATGTTAGCGCTTAATCCAGCGGTTCTCAACCTGGGGGTCGCGACCCCTTTGGGGGTCGAACGACCATTTCCCAGAAGTCGCCTAAGACCATCGGAAAACACATATTTCCGATGGTCTTAGGAACCGAGACACCGCTGCAGTCTCCGGCGATGTGTGGGCGGGATGATACGCTGCTGTCACCTGGCCACACCTCCGGGATCGCTCAGCAGCTCCGCCTCCTCGCCGCTGATTGGCCACAGGAACTGTAGCTCAGGAGAGGCACACAGGCGGCCAATCACCGGCGAGGAGGTGGAGCTTGGAGAGGAGGAGCCGAGCGGCAGCGCGCGTACATCAAAGAAGACCGAGGGAGCTGCCGGAGCAAGTGAAGAGGAGAGCGGCCAGAGAAGGAAGACAGCTGACAGGTAAGTGAGAGAGCGAGCCCAGGCTGGAGCAGGGGTCAGCAAAGTAAGTATCATTGGTGTCAGTGGGAGGAATAGTGCCCCATCATTTGTGTCACTAATACCAACGATGGGGCACTATTCCTCCCCCCACTGACACCAACGATGGGGCACTATTCCTCCCCCCACTGACACCAACGATGGGGCACTATTCCTCCCCCCACTGACACCAACGATGGGGCACTATTCCTCCCCCCACTGACACCAACGATGTGGCACTATTCCTCCCCCCACTGACACCAACGATGTGGCACTATTCCTCCCCCCACTGACACCAACGATGTGGCACTATTCCTCCCCCCACTGACACCAACGATGTGGCACTATTCCTCCCCCCACTGACACCAACGATGTGGCACTATTCCTCCCCCCACTGACACCAACGATGTGGCACTATTCCTCCCCCCACTGACACCAACGATGGGGCACTATTCCTCCCCCCACTGACACCAACGATGGGGCACTATTCCTCCCCCCACTGACACCAACGA